TAGCCCCACTGCACTTGGTAGCACTTGTAGTCAATCTACACCTGAGTCGTTTCGACTGATCCTATGTGAGGATGGATCAATTTTCCTTTTTGCCCCAGGGCATGCAGGACGGGCTTAACAAGCTAATGATCTTGCTTGGCCTTGAGGGCGTGCAACACCTTGTAGCGTAAGGCCCTGAGGCAATCGGTGCACGTCTAAAGGCGTTTTCGAGTTACGAAAACGCGCTGCTAGAGCACCTGCAGCAAAAGATGTCTGCATCGTTTGCGTCTAAAACGCCACCGTCGGTGACGGGAAACTTCCCCCGACCTAAGCCGCTCATGGTTAGCGTTAACGTCTTTGAGGGAAAGGATGAAGAGAATCTCCTGCTCTGGGTAAGAGAGGTCGAGATGGCCATCGCATCCGCCATGCTCCAAACCGAGCAACAGCGCGAGGCGCTAGCCATCTTCAAGATCGGTGGTCGAGCGAGAGAATGAGCACTGACGTGCGGCACTTCGGTCGGAGCTGCGTTTCCCTCCTGGGCGAAGCTGAAATTGCAGCTCTCACGAGTGTTCTCGCTGCCTAATCAGGCGTATCGCGTGCGATCGCGTTTTCTTGCCGCCCAACAGGGCAACAAGGAATTGGTGGACTTTGTCCAAGAATTGCGAACTCTCATTGCCGGGATGGCAGCATATCCCCTCCCGGAGGCGGTCACAGTGACCGTCTTTATGGAAGGCCTCCGCACTGGCGTGGTCAGAATGGAAGTCTTCCGTGTGCCCGTCCTCATTTGAAGAGGCAGTAATTGTGGCACTGAATGCCGAATTTAATTTCAAATTGGCACGACTTGGTAGGAATGCAAATTCCAACACCTCGTCGAGCGGGCCTATGCCCATGAATCTCAGCTATGCTGAAGACGATGGAGCAGAGCTTCGAGCTGCCGGGCAGCATACACACATTCGACAGTGTTTTGTATGTGGAGACACCCGTCACCTTCGGAACGGTCGCCCCCTGGGCAAGGCGCGTCAAGGTTCTTCGAGCCATCGCCCCAACGCCTACCAGTCTGGTTCGTCGCGGGTAAACGACATCACACAGTAGGCGCGGGGCGACCTACTGGGGGAGAACTGAGTTCTGTTGAGCCTCAGGGAAGCATAGGTCAACAGGGCCCAGCCCCAAAGAGCTCCGTGCTCTTAAACACGGAACGTGTGTGCTAGCTGGGCTTGCTGGTCGTGAAGGCGACCGTAAAGGGCTTCGAGAAGCCATGGAAAATCCTCATCGATTCCGGAACGTCGGGCAATTATGCTCGAAGCTCTACGACGGAAGGAAGTCAGCTGAATGCTGATACACTAAAAAAAAGGTTGGGTGACATCGTCACTGTTCGCCTAGCGACGGGGACGTGTGTCACGATCCCGAAGGTCCCTGTGGACCTCGGAGTCAAGTTCCTTGACTTCGATACCGTGGAACGCTGTCTAGGCTTAGACTTGTATGCAAGGTATGACCTCATCCTAGGAATGGAACACCATGAGCCATGAATTGATTGTAGGTCAAAGACCTTGGGCGCTTCGCGCACGTCTCTTGGTGGAGCCTTGGCGAGTCATGAACCCACCTGTGCTAGGAGACAAAAGCGCTATTAGCGAGAGCACTAGACCGAGACGGTCAACGTGCTAGACATTTGGAATGTTCGAGTTGGTAGAGACCAACGGTGCATTGGACAGGATTCCCGAGCGTGGCTCGCGGGCTGATCGTGAAGCGGCACGTAAACCACTGAGCGCTGCTCAATTTTCAAAGCAGTTTCTGCGTGTCATGCGTTACATGGTCGGCCAAGGGCCGAGGCATCGAGGGCGAGGCCCTCGTGATGCGCGTAGGGTGGCACGAAAACCACTGAGCACTGCTCTCGTTACGAAGCAATCGCTGCATGCCATTGATGGCGTGGTCAGACAGAGTCCGGGGCATTTTGGGTGCGGCCCTTCATATGCATGTGGAGTGGCACGTTATCCAGTGGACGAAGACTGCGGGGTTAGCAGTTCTTCGTCGGATGTTGTAGAGAACATCGGAGCTTCAAAGGAGCGGACAGTGAGGGTGA